TGGGCAACAGTGAATGGCCACTGCGCCGTCCAGCTGGGCGTGGGGGGCGGGCCCGTCGCCGCCACCGCGTGACCCCGAGCCCCGCCATCCGGCGCGCACCCAGGCGGCCCTCGCAGGCCCTTCTGACCCTCTGCCCCGGCATCCTATCCGCTCTCCGTCCTTGTCCAGCGGGGCGGCGGTGATAGCGGCCATCAGAAGATAGCCCTCCGCTACCAGCTGCTGCGGGGGCCGGCCTGAGGGCACGCGCGCCAGGGCCCGCAGCTCCCACCGGGTTGGGTGCCAGGGTGGCGCCCCTGGTCGCGGTCTAGCTACTTGCAGCACGGGAGGGGGCGGGCGGCGGGCCGGGGGTTGAGGGAAAGGGTGGCCAACCTGCAGGCCACGCGGGTCCCCGGGGCTGCAGGGGACAGAAGTCTGCCAGCCAGGTGTTCCCATCGCTTGATGACCTGGTGGTGTAACAGAGCCGGGCCCAGCTGTACCCACCGGTCAGTCTCTGGGGCGCCTGGCAACAGCCCGGCAGCCCCACGTCGCCATCACACCTCGTTCCCGCTCCGCGGGGCGATCCAGCGTCCACCGACTGCACACTGCCGCGACATGGCCGGCCGCCCTGGTCGTTCACGGCTGCCCGGCCCACATGCGCTGACCGGGACGGGGTGCAGGGATGCCTGCTCACTCGTGACCACTGACCCGACGCGAGGTCACATGCAAGAGAGTGGTGCTGGGGCCCGGCCGGCCCGCACAGCCTCCCGCCCGCTCGGCGGCCCTGGCCTGCGCCGGTGTCCTCCCCAGCGCCCAACGCTGTGCCCTTGCCAAGGGGCCCGTCTCCCCATCAGCACCACGTGGCCCCTAGAGGAGCTGCAGGTGCTGCCCAAGGGGGGGCACCCTCCCTGCTCTGGGCTGGGCCGGCCTCCAGCGCCCCGCTGACTGGAGGCTGAGGCTCAGACGCACCCGGCCAGGGCCCCCTCGTCCTGTGGGACCCCCAGGCCAGAGGGGGCGAGACCCCCGCGACAGCCCCCCAGAGCC